CTCACAATGAGCTTATCATATTCGTTTGCTACATTAGTAGGGCCCAATGATTTCTGCGATGCAAAAAATATGGACGGAATCCAGTCATAAAAACGGAATTTACTGTATAACGTGGAATTTCATGGAATTTTTCTTATTTTTGATGAAAAAACAGGTCAGTATATACACACACACACACACACACACACACACACACACACACACATATATATATATATAAAATATTATATAGACTGTGTCTGTGAATATTAAACTGCAAAAAGTCTTATTTTAAATAAGAATCCACATGTTCTGCATATTCATTTTATTACCAGAAAATAAACAACACCGAATTTGTGAAAAAATATTATTCATTATTATTATTTATTCATTTTAGATATTTACATTTGGAAAAGCTGTGCTTCCTGCATAAACCTGCCCCTGTTGGTTTGGCAGTAGCTTGATTGCCCTACACAGTTAGTTACCTATTAGTTGTATTTTCTAAAATACAAGTTATATATATTTTGTTCTATTTGTTAAGTTATTTATATTAAAGGGGTCATATGATGTTGCTAAAAAGAACATTATTTGGTGTAATGAAATGTTTACGCTGTTTAAGGTTAAAAAAACACATTATTTTCCATATACAGTACATTATTGTTTCTCCTCTATGCCCCACCTTTCTGAAACGCATCGATTTTTACAAAGCTCATTGGTCTGAAAAGCGAGGTGTGCTGTGATTGGCCAGCTATCCAGTGCATTGTGATTGGCCGAATACCTAAAGCATGTGACGGAAATGTTATGCCCCTTACCATACTGTGATGCCGTGTCCCGGAGCGACGAGACAAAAACATTCAAACCCATTATAAACGAGGCATTTGTTGCATCCAGTGGGGACATAATTACGGATTATAATGACTTATATACTGTCTTTTTACGCGTTGCATCGCGCTGCATAAACATAAAACCATGTCTGCATTTGTGATCGGAGAAATGACAAACAACAAGCGCTACTCTACACTGCTCAAAACTCTCGTTTGAATCATCAGTGGCAAATCCTTTAAATATGAAAACGTACTTGCAGACAGCAAGTCAGAACAGCCGGCATTGTAGTCTACTCTACCAGATCAGGAAACAGTCCTCCATAAAATGCGCTGCACACATCTGAATATTTGAGTTGAACTGTTCTGGAACAGTGTTGTAAATACAACTTAACCACTGATTTCTAGTCATGTCCTCTTTTGGAAGGCCAAACAATGTATTTTCGCTTTCGCAACGCATTACACACAGCGTCTTCACAACATGGTGGCGGGGTGGCAGCAACAATAAAGTTACTCCTTCTTTCTTTGCGTGAACATTTGGGCGGCGTTATGCAAATCTTCCCACATCGTGATGTAGACATGAATATTGGCCAGTATATCGTATCGGTCTTTTTTTACTCCCTAATATCGGTATCGGCCCCCAAAAAAACCCTTATCGGTCGGGCTGTAGTAACGATGATAGAAATGTTTACATTTTTTTTAGTTAATATTTAAATAGCAGCCTTTTTGTGGTTTAATATTCACAGAGGCTGCGTCCGAAATTGTATAAGTAATTAGCGACTGTTAAAAAAAGTATGTTCTATATATAGTTTGAATATGGTAGCATTAATTGAAATTTGAACCTACAATTTTTGTCATGTTGTCATTGTCATGTGACCTACCAGCATCACTGCCATTCACAAATCCTCTCCTGTGCCCTCAAGGGATAATAAAGTGTCCATTGGATGCACAATTCAGAATCTCACTGGAAACAGTAGGCCATCTGGAGACTTTTTGCCTACTCTTTTATGAATATATGAATACTGTGAATTTGTACATAATACTACTGTTTTTGCTTACTATATACTAGACTAGTATGCAACTTTGGATGCAGCAAGACACTAGTCCATGTGAGACACTAGTCCACTCATGATTTGAGTGTTCAGCTCTACTTTTCATTTATTTGTCCAAAAATTCTGTGAAATTCTGTCATACCGTGAATTCCATTTTTATGACTGGATTCTGTGTTTTTTTTGCATCACAGAAATCAAAAGTTCCTAGGAATATGAGGTGTTATTTTTCATGAAGGATACATATAGTTGAATGGGCTTTTTTTGGAGGTGTCATTCAGGTTCTACTTGAGGAGTTGTGCTTTTGTATGGTTGAGTGGGCGGCCGGATGGCTGCTGTGAGTTGGCGGGATCAGTGTCTGAGGGTATAGTAGAAGTGCCCAGTTGGTGGTGTGAAGTGGCCTTAAGTGCACTGAGACTTGTAGCATGAGTAAGGCGGGGCGTCTCTGCATTGTACCCGCCACATAGAAATGGCCTGACCCATTTGAGCAACAGCCAGCGAGGGGGATGGGGAGTGGGCAGTCTGAGGCTGCTAAAAATACCCCATTACCGACAGCTCCACTGCAGCGGGATCCCTGGAATCACTGTCCTTGACTAGCATGAAGTTGGCTTGGACAGTATAGGGTCTCCAATTGCCAACCAAGACCGAAAGGGTTTTCCTTGAGGTTTTCTTGCAGCTTCACTTCTACTGCTTTCCAATGCATTCCATTCTGTCATAGAGGAGCTTTCAAACCACATGTGAACCTGCCTATTTATTCACAGGTGCTTATATAAATGTATAGTTTTTAGGATTGAATGGTGGCAAAATGCATGAAATTACACACTACGATAAATGCTTGCTTGCTTTGTATGAAAGATCATATAAGTATATGATGTGATGCTTAAATTATTAGTCTGAAGGCAGGTGGGTGCAATCCACAGGCGCTGGTCCAAAACTGACATCTAAGTTTGTATGGCAAGGGTTAACATTACTGTTGCTCTACCATACTGTGGTAGCTGTTTGTTTGAAGATCCAATCACAATGATTTTCCACTGTTGTGACATGTGACCAGCTCTGCAACCTGAAACTGTCACGGCACAGCAAAGATTTGGCACTTCCCTCATCGTGGTGGAACAGTCACTCATAGATGATAACTCTGAGAAAATAAGCCCAACTGTGCAGGACAGATGTTATCTTGCTTGAAACCTGCATGCGTTCTGTTATTTACAGTCTCATCTCTATCTGAACTGTCAAAATGAATCATGATGATGATAATGCGTACCACGGCTGCTTGAGATGACAGTCATTTCAGGAAGTTCTGCTTTAAACCAGACACATTTTAGGACCAGTTGTTTCTTCAAGAGGGAGGAGCACAGTTAACTGCTGCAGTGTGAAGCTGTTAGGTGTTTCCCTTAGTTTTCACTTCCAGTTTTAATAGAGAAAACCGAGCTTGTTGACTTTGACATACTTGAGACTTTATTTGCCAATGCTAATGATGTCTTTTATGGTATTTTTTTTTTTGGTTGTGCAGGAAATCTTTTTGTCGGAGCTTCATAAAAAGGTCTATTCCATAGTTTCTGCACCTGAGAGAGTAGTTTTAACTGAAGGTTTTTCTCTTAATTTGTCTGCAATGTTCATGACATTGACTGTGGGAGAAGCTGATTGCCCAGCTGGTAGCCTGTTACTCTGCATGGACTGCTGCAAGTAAATCAGTCCTGGAGTGCTACTACACTTACACTACTTCTTACAGAGAGAAAGCTTTATTAACAACACCATATTCTCATTTTCACAGTTTGAATTTTCACAAACTCATGCTTTTGACCTCCCTTGTCCTTCTTAAACCTGTTCAGATCATTCCTGCTGGTGATCTGGTCGGTACATTCCTTGGATTACATTTATATTATAATTGAAATCTTGCTGATAAAGGCAAGGATAGTGAACTGTCAGCCCTTGTAGCTATTGAAATGGTCCCAAAGAAACTGTGAAGTCTGATAGTATGTTATTTGGTTTGAGGGCATGGTATTGATATGGAACTTTCTCTTCTGTTTGTGTACATGAAAATATGGAACATCATAGATGAACTTTGTCTAAGCAGTCCAAGGTCTCATGGGGCGTATTTACACTGTCATTTACAGTGTCACTTCAAGTGTAGTCATTGAATTTGTACATTTGGCATATACTTTTATCCAAAACAATTTGAATTGCATTCAATATACTGTTGATCATTTTATACTTTCTCGGGGAATCGAACCTATGACCTTGGGACACTTTTTCTTATTGAGATGACTGGAAAAAATTGCCCAATAAACCTGAATTCATCTTACATTTTAGAGACTGGTGCTACAGTTACTAAAAATAATAATGCCATTTTGGAAGTGAAATCTATATATTAACACTTAATATACTCCGTTCAGTTGTGTTGTATTCCATAAGTTTCTAGATTCAAAGCATTTCCATGTTATTTGAAAAAGCCACATATAATGTTGGGAAAAAGGCTTTTTAGTCTCTCACATAGTTAAGATGGCAGGTCAGTTCCCACGCTCAGAAAAGCCCACATAGTTCTGCCTGTAAAAGTGGGTAGCATGTCACCTTGAAACTCAGCCAGTGAGTTTGTTTGTTACTATTTCCAGGCCCGATGGGAGAGTTTTCTAAACTTAAGGTGTCTGTTGATGTTTTATTTGAGTCAGTATGCATATCTGTACATTTGGGTTTTGCATTTGTAAATACACGTTCAGCAATAATAACATTATTATTATTATTAATAAAGTATTCCTTTTTTTTTTTTTGTAGGTCTCCTTGGGCTGATTGTGTAAGGTTTCGTTCACAATGAAAGCAACGCCACAGGCTGAGGGGAATGGCTTGTGAATTATCCCAGTCCTGCCACCTGCAGTCGGGCATCCTCCTCCTCCTCTGAAGGACGTCAGTTGTTTATGGGAACTACTGGCATTGGTCTCCTGAGGATATAGCTCTCCTTTTGGGACGCCATTTTTCCACCCTTGCTGAGACGCGGTGTAGCCAGGAGACATGGCTAACAACTCATACAGCGGGGTGAAGAACTCTGTGGCCGAGCCCAATCACGATGGAGAGTTTGGCTGCTCGCTTAAAGAGCTGCGCTCTCTCATGGAACTGCGAGGGGCTGAAGGATTACACAAAATCCAGGAAACTTATGGGGACGTTAATGGACTTTGCAACAGACTGAAAACATCGCCCGTAGATGGTACATAATCATTATCTTGCACTTGCTTTGCTTTGCAGAAATCGAAATGCAGTTCCAGGAGGTAAAGTGGAGGAAGCACTGACTCTTTGGATGGTTTTAATCAGCATTGTTGTGTCTCACTCTAAACATATAGCTGTTAGCAGTAGTGAGCAGGTCAGTTACACTTGAATGGCTTCTTGCTGCATTTTAGTGCATCTGCAGTCTATTTTAGAGGATCGCTGCTGCTGTCCCGTTGCTGCTGCTCTGGCAACACATGGACAGTGTGTTGATATCTCAGACAATTGAGACACAGATCTGTTTTCCTTACTAACTGGTTAGACTTCATAGAGAATATCCTAAATATAGCCTGTGTGCATTGTCGGTGTGTTTGACAATTGAAATAAAAGTCCTTAATGTCAAACACAAATGTGTTTACCATCCCATCTTATAGTCTGTGAAACTGCGGTTACAGCAGGGACGTTACAGCCTTTATTACAGCTTTTTTAGACCCTTTCTCTGTCCATCTTTTTGTACTCCCACTTTATTGTCAATCTCTTTATTTCTCTCTAGGGCTGCAACTAACGATTGTTTAGATTTTTTTTATATACATAAAGTAAATCACAAATATGCACTCTATGAACTATTTTAAAGGGTTAGTTCACCCAAAAATGAAAATTAGGCTGCGTTTTACTCACCCCCGAGGCATCCTAGGTGTATATGACTTTCAGACAAATCCAGTCAGAGTTATATTTAAAATTGTCTTTGATCTTTCAAGCTGTTTAATGCTACTCAGCGGGTGGTGCATTGCTTCAGTCCTAAAGAACTTAAATAAAAATCGCCCATCCATAAAAAAAGTGTCTCACACTGCTTCGGGGGGTGAACAAAGTCCTCCTGTAGCGAATCGATGCGTTTTTGTAAGAAAAATATCCATATTCAAAGCGTAATAATCACTTGAATCTAGCTTGCGCTCACTGTTGTAAACCGAAGCAGTTCCAGGGGAATGACGTATGAGGTCAGCTTTGCGCATGCGCTGCTCAGAAGTGACTCATGCGGAAATGCAGCAGAGAGATCAAAACTAAATGACAGTCAAGAATTAGAAGTACAAAACGAGAATTTGTAAAGAAGAATGTCAGAGGATTTCGATATAAGCCAAGAGGAGACTGGTTTTCTTTTGCTAAAGTAAGGAAACTTTGCTTCCTTTGCTCCTGTTAACAAACGTTGGTTTTTACGAGACTCACCGGCACATGCGCAGCGCTGACCTCATACGTCATGCTCCTGGAACTGCTTCTGTGTACAACTGTTGGCGCAAGCTACATTAAAGTGATTATTATGTTTTGAATATGGATATTTTTCTTACAAAAATGCATCGATTCGCTACAGAAGGCCTTTGTTCACCCCCCGGAGCCATGTGAGACATCCGATTCTTTTGGACTGAAACAATGCAACACCTGCTGAGTGGCATTAAACAGCTTGAAAGATCAAAGACAATTTTTAATGTAACTCCGACTGGATTCATCTGAAAGAAGAAAGTCATATACACCTAGGATGCCTCGGGGGTGAAACGCAGCCTAATTTTCATTTTTGGGTGAACTAACCCTTTAAGTAACATAACACCTGCTGTTAGGATGCACTCAATTAACTTTGAATTTATAACATTTACCAATAAGAATATATCTGCAATATAACAGCATGCACATATTAAACAACAGGAGCAATCTGTCAGAGCACCTGACACTCCACATGCAGCCATATGCTTATGACTATTTTTGAACCATTTAATATCAAATCCTTCCATTCTTGGACCGCTTGGTCCATGAACTTGTTACTCCCAGTTAAAAGTCCAAAGTGGCATCATTGACACAGATTCTCGGTGTCACATCAATTGAAATTATCGATTCTTGTCATTGTGTGTTTTTTTTTAAATTATTTATTTGGTTGTTGCAGCCCTGTTTGTCCCTTTTTGCTCTCCCACTGTCTTGGTTTACTATTTCGCACTTTCTTTTGCTTTCTTTCATCTGAAGGGGTGTGTGAGCAGGTGTATATAGTCTTTAGGGTAAGATATAGAAAAGTGCAGAGTCAGTGTGCAGCCCACAGCTGCAGCTCCATTGGTTTATTACCTCTCTGTAGACATTAGGTTTAATCGCTGGCCTGACCTTGATTGAACTCTTGGGGGATGGGATTTTCAGTTTGATCCCAGATTAAAACGGCACCATGTCCATAGCAGTTCTCTACAGGCTCTTTGAGATGCAATTCTCTCGTGCGTCTGCTGGGGGCTTCTGGCCAGTGTTTCCATGAGAATACTTCACTTATCTATTTAACATGCAGGCTTGATCAGCACTAATTCGTTTTTGGTATTGAAAGTCAAAATGTAACACACATTCCTGATATAGAGCTCCTAAGGGACCTGCCCTCTCCAGTATTAGTGTCTTGACCCTTAATTAGTTTTGCTTCTACACTGAAGAAAATGTGAAAAAGGGTGCTTGCTAGGATGTTCTGGTTGGTTACTATTCCAAGTTTGTGATATTCTGGTAGACAAGGCTCAGGATGCTCTTTCACTCTAAATCCATGTACTATTATTGCACATTTTATAGTCCAATCGCTTAAAGTAAAAGCATTTGAGGTATCATTCATGCCCGTACCACAAAATATTTCTGTATGAACAATAATAATAGTGATGATTGCATTAGCGATAATGTTGCTCCTAGGTCTTAAATGTATCTGACACTTGGTATCATGAATATGTTTGGCAGAGCACCAAAATCAATCTTTCAGTCTTAATAATGAGGTAATTCAACATGTCTGATATGTACAGCATGTTTGAATGCTTTTATGTAGTGTCACCTGCCCCGTCCTGCCCTCACAAGGTCTGAATTTTATTAGCAGGCGATGAAATACTGAGTGATTGAAACCAAAGCTTACTGTGCTGTCTGCAATCCAGAGCTATACCTTTTTCATGGTGTCAGTGGAAATGATAGCGTCAGTTCACAGCTCAAATAATGGGGTCACACTGATAGCATCAATATGACTACTAAAAATGTGTATTGTTTCCTGAATAGACTGTCTGAAACTTGGCCCATGCTGTGCCTGAGCTTTGTATACCTTGTGAATTGTGCATTAGTCATAGAAGAATAGTCTAAGAATTTTCCTCCTAGATGTTCTATTCAGTGGCCAGACTGATAGAGGGCCCTGTCACTTAGCCATTCTTGCTACGCGGCACACGTCTAATCACACGATCGGAGCCCCACAGCGATCCGCCAGTTTAGCTGTGCCCTGTTCCCTCCGCTTCACAATAGCACGCTGGCAGGCAGCCCTGCTGTTATGATATGTTTTACAGCTTAATCAGATCACTCAGCTTTGCCATAGGAAAGTAAGCAGTCATTCAAGATTACAAGAGCTTTGACAATTGAAAAGGGATTTCTAATTAGTAAGTAGGCCATTTCTCAATTTCGTAGCAAAGCTACCACTAATCTTTCTACTCTTTCAAATTTAACTAGTTACTTTTTACAGCTCTTTCAGGTTCACTTTAAATCATGGCATTCTTCTCGTTTTATTCGGGTGAATATTTTGAGTCTGTATTTATGCTGGCTGGTTCCTCGAATCTGTTGTATTACACAATTTGCATGTGTGGACACGAGGGATGTCTACTGCAAATTAAAGGCGAGCGCTCAAGATTTGTTTTAACTGATGGGATTTTTAATTGAAAGTGCTACTGGTGTACATGACTCAGCCTCTTGTGGGCCCTAAGGACAAACATTCCTGGGGCGTTAAGAGTCATAAATGAGTGTTAAATTAAAATTCGCTAAATGGTTTAGCTGAAATAGAAATATCTCTAAAGGATGTCTCAGAAAAGACTAAACTTCTTAAATCAGGTGGGAGGTGATGTTTGTTAGGTATACAACCAGCCACAAGCTTCATCCAGTACTTAAGTTATACTACGTATGACCTGGGCTCTGACACATAAGTGTGTTAAAGGTGAAGTGTGGGTTTTCTAGTGTTTTCTTCTGCCTCAGTTTCATTTGTAGGTTGATTTCTATGAAAAGTGTGAACTCTGAGGCACTTGAAGCACAGAATGACACTCAGGGCTTAAAGTTCTCCGACACCGTGCCGGATCTCCGGCGTGCAGCGTTTGGCTGTGGGAAAAAATAGTTCTACATTTTAAAAAATAAAATAAAAATCTTGTTGATATCACTTTCGAGTCCTTGAGCTTTGTAAACAGCTCAGAGTAATCATGTCATCTCCATAAAACGATATGATTTACTGGGATTTTTGAAAAGGTGTTCACACATGATCTATTAATGGTAACTTACCGGTAATTTACCAGTACTGTCTCAATGGCAGTTGCCATGTCTGGTCTAGATGCACAGAAATTACACACTTCACCTTTAAGTATGACTGCACCTGTCAGTAATATCCTTCTGTCTCTTAAGCAGTTACTACAGGTATTTATGAATGAGAGCTTAGTAAAAAATTAAATATTGCAACTAAAATTTAACCAGCATGCTAAATAATCGGAGCTAAGTGGAACGTTGTGTTTGTGAGAGAGCAAATTATCAGCAATGGCTTTGTACATGTTGTAGTCTGTATATTGAATGGATTGATGAGCATAGTTATTTATTATTTAATGTTTTATCTTGCCTTGTCTAGCTTGTTAAATATTTATCAGATGCTCTGTTAGTAATGTGCCCTGTTTCTTTTATGGATTAAGGCATTAGAGATTAGTAAAAAAACATTTTCTTTTCCATAGAGGCCCCTGTTTTTGTGGCTTTTAAGGTTTCAGGTGAAAGTAGAAATTGAACTCCGATGATTTGGTCTCTTTTGGGAAACTGCAAAAACCTTGGAGTCTTTGCAGCAACTAGCACTAACACTAGTTTACAACCTAAAACACATTAGCACTTTCCAGCAATCACAATGGTACTTCTGCTCTCAGTGAAGTCACATGCAAATGAATAATTAGCTGTCTAAATGCCCATGTTTGGCTGGTCTTAGGTTTTTTTCCCCCTCTTCTGTTGAGTTTAATCTTCCCCTCAGTGATGTTTATGAGTAAATGTCTGCAAGATCTGGAGTGAGAGTGGAATTGAGATGTGTATTGCAGCATAAATGCATTTTTGAGAGGTGTTAGACCTGACTCATCTGCTCCTTAGCCCACTCTCCAAGCAGGGACACAGAATGTAATCCTCAGCCTCAATTTCCACACTACACAAGCCTGGATTTAATGCACTGGCGTTGAATCAGGAAGAAGTTTTCAGCAGTTAGCTACTGTTCTTTCATCGAGAAGTACCTTTTACATAAGTACAAGCAAACAAAATTTGAATTTAGTTTGATTTCATTGTTGGCTTTGCTTCCTTAGTAACCGATTTTGACCTGATGACTGCAACACTTGAAGATTTGCCTACTGATCATTCAGGGTCTGTGTACATGTCGTTGCAGAAGTGATAGTTCAAGTCATAATCTAAAATGCTATTTAAAGCTCATGTCACCTAGTTTATAGTGTAAATGCAGCCAACAAAAGTTTTTTTTTTTTTATTACTATCACAAAAATCATTCAAAGTTCAGGTTATTCTATAAAAGTCCCCTAGAATAGAAGCCAATAGAGTTAGAGAAATATTTAAGCAACAGTGAAGACATGATGAATCTGCAAATCTAGCTTTATAAGTAATTTGATGTAGAATTTACTTATTTTGCATAGCAAATTGCTAGAAATAATTAAAAAGAAGCACATTGAGTTAAACATGAAATGAACATGAAATAATATTTTCTTGTGAAACATTCTCTAATAATCTTTGTTTTATTCGCAATTTCAAAAGGTGTTGGTAGAACTAGCAGCAAAGAAGGTCATAGGTTTGAGTTTTATGAATCCATATGCTCTCATTTACATTTATGCATTTAGAAGATGCTTTTATCCAAATCGACTTCTATTGCATTCAAGGTGTAAATTTTATCACTTCATGCATTGCATTCCCTGGGTATCAAACCCATGACATTGGAGTTCCTAGTGCTCTGATGTTTGAGCTACAGGAATGCCCATATACATTGCCTTGAATGAAATGTAAGTAGCTTTGAAAAAAAATAAATTTATGCAAATCTCGAAGACATTGTAGTTGTCCAGACAAAAAGCTATTTTGTTGTGTGCAGTCAAAAGCTGAGTGTAATCCAGCAGCAGAAAGGTGCTTTTGAGACCGTGAGTGTTAATATGCAGTGAAACCTTCAGCTCATTGGGACAGAGCAAGAGCCAAGCAGCTCTATGGCTTTGCTGAGTAATGTGGAGGATGTTGTCATGACAATAGGCTCTGCTGACCAGGCTGCTCTCTGGTCGGGCAGGCAAACCATCCCGTTCAGTCACACGTACATATTCATTCTGACGCCCAGACACTAGATGCATAAACAAGCATGCATGCATGCTTTTCGTCCACATGGCTCATTCACCACATCTAGCCATCCCTTTTTTTTGTCTGTTAACATGTGGTGACTGTGAGTGAACTGAATGCACACACCATGACTTCTTTGAATATAGAGAGTTATTCAAATGGGCAAGCCAGAGGACTGCTGTTAAACCAGTGCATTTGAATGGTTCCTGAGAATGACCGCGTACAATGTACCCAGCGTTTTTTTTTGTCCTGTCAGTTTTGGCGTTTCATATTTGGCCTGGATTAAGTCAAAGGTTGCAAACCCAGGAAATTTCATGATCTTGTGTCAAAAGAATCTCATGATCTTGTGTCAAAATCCCACATGCTAAACTGCTGTAGTGGCAGTATTAATGGATTAGCTGTGCTAATAACTCCTAATCAATTAAATACAAAACGGTGTAAGCTGTAATTATACACACAGTAAGATTTTAGCCTGGACATGGACATACATGGGTAAAATTATTACTAGTTCTGTCAGACACCTGTAGACACATGACTGTTACTGTATATGTATAGTTGTATGGCAATGTAAATGGATGTCAATGATAAATAATATACATTCTAAAGAAGTCAACCATTTTCTGTTCCATTTGATCCAATTTGTGAAATATTTGGCTAAACTTACATTTTATATTTGTGGAGATAAATCCCTAATTTTATTCATATTGCTTCTCTGTGACCTTTTGATCTTATTCAGAGAGTCTTTCTTTAAAAGCTACTGTTGTTGACCCACAGGTCCTCTCTTCCTCACTAATCCTGACTCTCATAGAAACTCATTAAGCATCGTCTGCTGCTATATAAGAGCTGTGTTCAATGTTTACTTAAATTAATTATTTTTTTCTTATTCTTTTCTTCCAGGATTAAGTGGGCAGCCTGCAGATATTGAAAAAAGAAAAGTAGCATTTGGACAGAACTTTATACCTCCGAAAAAGCCAAAAACCTTTCTTCAGTTAGTATGGGAAGCATTACAAGACGTAACATTGATTATTTTGGAAGTGGCAGCAATAGTTTCTTTAGGCCTTTCTTTTTATAAACCTCCGGATTCAGAAAATAGAAGTGAGTAACCTATTTATTTCCTTCAGCCTTATTTATAGTTCATGATCTCAATTTCAGGTTGTTCTGAGCTGAGTTTCATTTTATGTTTGTTTGTGTGTGTAGATTGCGGGAATGCAGCGGGTGGAATAGAGGATGAAGGAGAAGCTGAGGCTGGATGGATAGAAGGAGCAGCTATCCTCCTATCTGTTGCTTGCGTGGTGCTCGTGACGGCCTTCAATGACTGGAGCAAAGAGAAGCAGTTCCGTGGCTTACAGAGCCGCATTGAACAAGAGCAGAAGTTTATGATGGTTCGGGGAGGGCAAGTCATTCCGATCCCTGTGGCCGAGATTGTCGTAGGGGACATTGCACAAATTAAATATGGTAAGCTGACATAAATTTGCAGAGAACTTTCATTTCCTTCTTAGAGGGAAAATCATGAGTATGAGTGTGGCGTTTAAAAAATGTAACTCTACCAGTCTTACATTTCACTGGTGTTGAGTAATTATTACCTTTTCCTGTATAGTCACCTTGAAATAAATTCAAAAGCTGCTGACGGTAATGTACATTATTGTGATGGGATACTTTCTTCATCAGGTGACCTCCTGCCTGCTGATGGCATTCTCATCCAGGGCAATGACCTCAAAATAGATGAAAGCTCTTTAACTGGAGAGTCTGACCATGTGAAGAAATCGATGGAAAAAGATTCTGTGCTGCTGTCAGGTGGGACATGAAGTTACAATCGACAGCAACTGCAGCAACAGGAACGTTTGGCTGCACAATCCTGTAACATTTTAGCATATTCTCTGTGTCGTGTCTCACCTCTACCCAAAAGTTCAGCCAAACCAAATAAATGTCCATTGTGGTAGTTCAGATGTTTGCTATGTAGGACCTGCTCCCTCTCAGCGAGGCTATTGCACATCTTCAGCTAATCCCATTTTATGAAAGCCAGTTGATCCTCTGATAGAATGACATTGCTGTGTGCTATCCCAGAGGAGATGAGGGGGGGATTTGTGAGCCTGAGCGGGCACTTCTCCAGCAGAGCCTGCGTTAGCATGCTGAGTCTACCCCAGCAGAAACCTCTCCCTGACATATTTTTCATAGACCCCCTTCTCAAGCTTGAACAGTTATCAAGAGCTGTATTAAAGCCCATTTCTGAAGGCCAGAAAAATGGCCTCTCATTTCACTTTAAGGGAAATGAGAAAATACCATAGAGCCCAATAATATATCATTGATTTGAAGACCTGCCTGTTTGAGTCTTCATCCTGTTTAAAGGCCTATTCACCCAAAGGACTATAGCTATAATGATAACAAAGATATAATTTTAAAAATCATTCTAAATTAAGAAATATGGAGTCCACACCACACCTCTAACAGTAACAACAGTTAGAATCAATTTAAAAATGACTTTTTCCAGATGACGAATGTTAAAAACACTGACAGCCAATCAGAATCCATCCTGCTTTAAAGAGCTCAAGCATTATTGTATTCATGTGGACCAGGGTCAGAAATAAACTTTTACAATAAGAGGATATTTTACTAATATTTTTAGTGACATTTTACCTTTGTTAGGGCAATTTTTATAATTACCTTATCTGTTAGTTTTTTTTATGTTAAAATACTTAAAACCATCTTTACACCCATGTTTTGAGAGCAAGTTTGGTAAACCTGTTGTTTTGAAAAAATAACACTCTGGACAACTAATTATGTGTCATAAACTGAGCTGTGTGTGAGTGCTTTAGATCCAGTCGTGAATATATTGGCACTAATATGAATAGCTTGTGCTTCGTCTGGCCCTTATTCACCTCATCTTCCTCTCTGCAGGTACTCATGTCATGGAGGGCTCTGGAAAAATGGTTGTCACTGCTGTCGGAGTTAATTCCCAAACTGGAATAATCTTTACGTTATTGGGGGCGGGAGAAGATGATGAGGATGAGGAGGAGAAGAAGAAAGAGAGAAAGAAAGAGAAGAAAAGTAAGTTATCTGTATTATTCAGAGTCTTTTTAGTCTGCCTCAGAAACTAAAATAGACCAACCAGTGGCCTTTTCAGTCTGTAGCTACTGTGGCTACAGAGAGATGAATTGAATAGGCTGCACGTGTGTTCCAGCATTCATGAAAGTGTGCTTTTGTCAAACGAGAGATTTTTTTTAAATTTTTTTAATTTAGAAGTATTCTTCTGTCTGAAGCAATGACTCGTAGAAAAATGTAATGATTTCTTGTGCGCTCCATTAACTAACTGCCATTTAATGCATTTCTCCAGCCTGTGGCTCACGTGTTGGGTCTCCAAATGAGTGCCTGCAAGATACATGAATATTTCAGTACTTGCAGAGGTTGGGCCCCAAGTTGCTGTTCAGTGACTGTGCACCTCATTGCAATTTTGTGCACTTGTGGTCTAGCCACAGCAGTGGATTTTAAAAACCTCATGAGGTCGTGTCACACATCTGTTCGTAAATATTCGAGGGCCTTTTCTCATTCTGCGAAATCAAAGAGAAGATTTGCATAATTGGAAATATGTTTAAATGTGCGCTGCACAACCGTCGCTTGCATAATGGTGAATAATGAATAAATTAGTGTTTGTTATATGGTTTATCTTTCTCTCTTTTACTCCAGATAAAAAGCAGGATGGCTCTGTGGAGAACAGAAAGAAAGGTGAGTAACCCTATTGACTTAATGACATAATGAACACCATATTGGCTTAGAAGGCCAGCCTCTTACATGCTGCAGCCTGCATTAAAAACATCGCCTTAACCCATTAGTGCTATCGGATCTTCGTTAAAGCTTATCCACACAAGTGTGAGGTGCAAAGAAGTGTGCATGTGTGAAGCTTTGAGAAGTTAGCCTGTTTTCTGGAGTTTGATTATAACACTACATTCAAAAGTTTGGGCGATTTCAAAAGAAATACTTTTATTCAGCAAGGATGCACTGATTCGATCAAAAGTGACAAATCGGCATATTAGAATGATTTCTGAAGTATCATGAGACACTGAAGATGGGAGCTTCTGAAAATTCAGCTTTGCCAAGACAGGAATTTAAAAATGTATTAAAATAGAAAACAGTTCTTTTAAATTGTAATATTATTTCACTATATTACTGTTTTGATCAAATGTAGACTTGGTGAGTAGAAGAGACTTTATTTTAAAACATTATACAATTCATACTGTGCAGCTATGTTCAGATATCTGCACCTGTCTCCCTGCAAACCTTTTATCTAAAATCACCTGCTCAAGCAGGAAAGTGTCCACAATGAGGCTGCCCTGTGTTCAGAAACCAACTCTGTAGCGTTTACTCTAAAAAGCACGCCTGTGTTTACTGAAGCCCCAGCTACAGATCGCCCTGCCAGAAATGAGCTCTAATCCACCAGACTAGCATTACAGCTCTGTGAGTAGAGCGCAGCAACACGGCATAGTAGAATAGCAGTCCCACATCGCCCCCCCACCCCCCACGCTAATTCAAACGCAGTCGCATTACCTCACATCACACACCGGTTAAATCCTGCACACAGGCCGACTGCGTCATGCTACAGCAGCGATAGGCGGAGATGCTCTGCTGCGTGCTTGTCTGTATGATTGCACGCATGCAGAGTTCTTTGTTTGTGTGATGTCACCTCTCTGGCAGGCTGTACTTTCAGCACGCAGAGCGACGGCCTTGAGATCAGGATAAGTGTGTGCATGTCGTCTTTTATAACCGATAGTGATAAGTGATGGACTGGACATCTGAGTGTGGCGATGAGGTTTTGTCTCCTAAGGTACTTGGTCACATGGGTTTGCATGTGGCTCCTAAATGATCTTGAGCTGTGTTTTCTCGGACTGTAATAAAATTATAATTCATTTATAATCACTATTATAATGAATTTATTGGCTCACTTAATTATATTTGTCATGAGAGGGGAACTACATTTTAATTAGAAAATGCTTCATGCGGTCCAAGTGTGGAGAAAATCATAGTCACTACTCAAATTCACTGCATATTCACAGTTCTCTTTTCTTTTATTTGTAGCTAAAGCCCAGGATGGTGCCGCAATGGAGATGCAACCTCTAAACAGTGATGAAGGGGCTGAGGGTGAAGAGAAGAAAAAAGCCAACTTGCCAAAGAAAGAGAAATCAGTTTTGCAAGGGAAACTGACCAAATTAGCGGTCCAAATTGGAAAAGCAGGTAAGCATGGTTGCTTTGAGATCATCTGTTATGCTAGTGCATAAAACTTCAAATAAATGACACTTTAGAAGGTAGATGCATTTAAAATGTATACTTCTCTGGGAAAACTGGCCAAATATATTGATGACTCTACCTGAAATACACAGATTATTGTCCAATCAAATGCTCTCTAGAATGAGAATCCCGCCCAAGTACCTTCTGCAATTAGCAGTAGGTTCATGACCGTGACATAGCTAAAGTCTGTTAGCGATTTCAAAAAGGATGTCTTGCCAAACTTCTGGTTTCAATAGGAAATATGGACAGAATAACACAGGACAGAAAACTGCATTTGTCAAGCGTCTTTCTGAGCCTAACAGTCAATTTCACAGCGGTAATGGTTTTTGCTGGGACCTCAGATTTGTGCAGCATGGGCTTTAGAGGTCTTAATGTATGTGTTCCTGTGCAGGTCTGGTGATGTCAGCCATCACAGTGATCATCTTGGTGGTGCTGTTCGTGGTGGACACTTTCTGGATCCAGGGAATTCCTTGGGAAAAAGAGTGCACTCCCATTTACATCCAGTTCTTTGTCAAGTTCTTTATCATCGGTGTTACCGTGCTGGTGGTGGCCGTCCCTGAGGGTCTTCCTCTAGCTGTAACCATCTCGCTGGCTTACTCTGTCAAAGTATGACCCTGCATCTTCTGTTTAAATGTTTATGGTCCGTACCAGTGGTCACCAACGTGGTGCCTGTGGGTGACTGAATATTTTACTACTGTATACTACAATGCAATTCTCAAAGTAATAATAATAATGTTATTATTTTTAAGGAATATCATACAACCAAGTTATTTTTTATTATTATTAATTTATACAGTTCTGTTGTGCAGCATCATGTCTGATCAAATAAAATAAAAAATTATAAAGATGCAATGTTTTGTTGTAAATTGATTTTCATTTGATTACATTTTAAAAGATTGATTCAATTGTTAAAGTTTTATTAATTCATTTCACTAGACACCATTTTTATGATAAATTTGTACTGAATCAGAAAACATGGAATCCATAAGAAATCAAATGGAAAACAGAATTTAGGGGAAAATAAAATGCATTTTTGCATAAAATGCAAGATATTAGAGAGAAATATATATATATATATGTCCATAAGAAATCAAATGGAAAACAGAATTTAGGGAAAAATAAAATGCATTTTTGCATAAAATGCAAGATATTAGAGAGAAAAAAAAAAAATATATATATATATATATATATATGTGTGTGTATTGGAGTATATCAAACAAATAGCCCTTTTTTAGACTATTTTATCCCTTCAGGGAGCCCTCACTCACAAAAAGGTTGGAGACCCCTGGTCTGTACCGACCATCTTGTGACATTAGCCCTCTGTCTAGACTTTGTTAGTCAATACAGTACATGTTGAGCCAATAATCATATGAATTGCCATATCTTTATGCATCTATCAACTTCCCCTTTGTAACGTTGTAACGTTGCCGTTACAGTAATATTACTTCTCTGGGTTTCTGCCATTTAATTGGGGATTAGTGGACTTTAATGTTTAATCTTGCGCTCAATCTGTTTATTGTTGCTCTGTCTGTGTATCACCCCCCCCTCATTCTATCTAAATTTTTTTCATTGTTTTACGTTGCAGAAAATGATGAAAGACAATAATTTGGTGAGGCATCTTGATGCCTGTGAAACTATGGGCAATGCCACAGCCATCTGTTCGGATAAAACGGGGACTCTGACTATGAACCGGATGACAGTTGTTCAGGTTTTTATCGCTGACAAGCACTACAAGAAAGTCCCTGAGCCCAATGCCATTCCTGCCAGCACCATGGACCTGCTCATACTGGGCGTCAGTGTCAACTGTGCTTACACCACCAAAATCATGGTGAGTCCCTAGGCAATGGCCTCTGAGGGCTTGAGGACCATCTGCCTGGCTTACAGGGACTTTCCTGCCTCTGAAGGTGAACCAGACTGGGATAATGAGAGTGATATCCTGACCAGGCTCACCTGTGTGTGTGTCGTGGGCATTGAAGACCCAGTTAGACCAGAGGTACAAGTCTTCGCTATTTAAAAGGAATTATTTTAACTTAGAAGTACACAAAACTGTTCATTAGCAAGAGAGACTATTGCACTAGCATGTAATGTCAGATAATAAGCTTTCTCAGTCACACTCACTTATTCTTTTCATGCTCAGGTCCCTGATGCCATTAGAAAGTGCCAGCGTGCTGGAATCACGGTGCGCATGGTCACCGGGGACAATCTTAACACTGCCCGTGCTATATCAACTAAATGTGGCATCCTGCAGCCAGGAGATGACTTTCTTTGCTTGGAGGGCAAAGAGTTCAACCGCCGGATCCGTAATGAAAAGGGAGAGGTGAGAGGCACAATTTATTAGCAGCAAGACTCGCAGAAACACTGAAACTCACAAGCTCATAAAATAATATCTGTTTTTCTAGATTGAACAAGAGCGGATTGACAAAATATGGCCTAAACTCCGGGTGCTGGCGAGATCTTCACCGACAGACAAGCATACACTAGTCAAAGGTGCTTAGAGACTCGCTCCTCCAGCATGAAAAAAAATAGTATAATTCTGCTCTGTAATGTCGTGCTGTTTGTCTTGACGCATGTCTTTTCCTTCAGGTATAATTGACAGCACTGTTTTGGAGCGGAGGCAGGTTGTGGCAGTAACGGGAGACGGCACCAATGATGGCCCTGCCTTAAAAAAGGCCGATGTTGGGTTTGCTATGGTATGTGGGTCTGCCTGACGTGGCTACAAAAAAAAAAGATTCCTCCAAGGATTCTGTGCTCTAGATTTAGTTTTGAATGGCTTTTATATAGTGTGCTTTTTATTCTTAGGGCATTGCCGGCACAGATGTGGCTAAAGAAGCCTCCGATATCATTCTCACTGACGACAACTTCAGCAGCATCGTCAAGGCCGTCATGTGGGGGCGGAACGTGTATGACAGCATTTCAAAATTCCTCCAGTTCCAGCTCACCGTCAATGTGGTGGCTGTGATCGTGGCCTTCACTGGAGCTTGCATCACACAGGTATGACTATTAAAAGCTCTCTTCTAGCATGAGGCAAAATGACGGAGTTGCGGCTGACGGAGCTGTTAAGCTAAATAGTGCAGCTCTACGTGAAGGATTGCGTGTTAACAGATGCACCATGGTGGCTGATGGAAGCAGCTGATTGCTACCCATCCTGTGTAAAGTGATTGGAAATTGTTAGTCTGAGGCAGGAAGACTTGCAGGCAGTCAGCATGGGGCCTGGCACTGCTGTCCACAGGCAAAGCACCAGTCCGAAATGAGCCAGCTCTCCTCTGTTAAATGGAATGATAGTCGGGCTGATTGCAGTTGAGGCCCTGTATTATTGCATAATGAATGGGAGGATTACATTTGCACTTTGCATTGCTGTCAGTAGCAAAGGCTGGACGTGGCCTCAAGCCTCAGGTGTTCTGCTTGTTTCGTGTGTAATTTTCCCTGGAAATTGCTCATGAGCAGGCTGACTCGGTATCAGACCCCACCAGAATTTCAGCACCTGTCATTCACAAAATCTTGTTTATGAATTATTGCCTTTCTTTCTTTCTTTTTTTAAATTCACAATGCAGAATTCTAGAGGAAATACAAAAAAAAAAAACTTTGTGAACGATTCAGTACTCATGCAAATGCACAGCTGAGAGGGTGTTTTTGAATGTTATGAAGGTGGCAGCAGTGAATGAGGTCAGAACGGTCACCTCCTGTTCTCTCACTCTCACAGGACTCTCCTTTGAAAGCTGTACAGATGTTATGGGTAAATCTGATTATGGACACATTTGCCTCTTTGGCCTTGGCCACTGAACCCCCCACTGAATCACTTCTGCTGAGGAAGCCTTACGGCCGTAATAAACCCCTCATCTCCCGGACAATGATGAAGAACATTTTGGGTCATGCGGTCTACCAGCTCACTATCATCTTCACTCTACTTTTTGCTGGTAAGAACTAACAGCATCTGTGATCGAGCAAAGTCATGCAAATTATAATCGCATGAAGCAAATGTCCACTACAATGTTTTACTTTCTGCTCATTTCTCAGGTGAAAAGATGTTCGACATTGACAATGGACGTTACGCCCCTCTTCACGCTCCTCCCTCTGAGCACTACACCATTGTCTTCAACACCTTTGTGATGATGCAGCTGTTCAATGAAATCAACGCACGGAAGATCCACGGGGAACGAAATGTTTTTGAAGGCATTTTTAACAACATGATCTTCTGTTCCATCGTCTTTGGGACTTTTGTTATTCAGGTATGCAGTGAGTCCTACTAATTGCTGTATGAATGCCCATAATCAGAGCAGATACAGATGCTGGTGTGATATAAGCATATCATAAACTCAAAAAATTATTGATTCCACTTAGATTGTGATAGTGCAATTTGGAGGAAAGCCATTCAGCTGTGTGGGGCTGAGCATTGAGCAGTGGCTATGGTGCATCCTCTTGGGTTTTGGGTGTCTACTATGGGGACAGGTGAGCATCATCCAACTTTTCCTTCCTACGTTATACAAAGCAGCTTCTTGTAACTTGCTCTCAAAACACCAATCCAAACTCGATAGTAATAGAGCAGTGCCCCCTAAAGGCAGTGAACTGAATTACTGGACATTTTGTTACATTACATTTCGTTTTTGTTTTTTGTATGAAATGGCCACTTGATATACATCTACGCCCTCATTCAGATCATCTCCTCGATCCCAACGAGCCGGCTGAAGTTCCTGAAGACTGCTGGTCATGGAACGCAGAAGGAAGAAATCCCAGACGAGGAGTTGGAGGAGCTGGAGGACCTGGATGAAATCGATCATGCAGAGCGCGAGCTCCGCAGGGGGCAGATCCTCTGGTTCAGAGGCCTGAATCGCATTCAGACTCAGGTAACCTCTTGAAAACTGCACAACTCTGCAGTCCAAGCTCCGGAACCCAAACGCCCGCCTTGCTTAATCAATTTAGATTTTTTATTTCCCTTTCTCCGATTATGGTTTGAGTTAGTACTCCCTCCAATCGATCCGCCACTTATGGTGACCTTATACTGGTGGAAGAGGGTTTATTAATGCAGTTTGTCAGTGCAATAAGCCGATCAATGCTAAAGGCAAATGTCTGGTCAGGTTCTTTTAATTCAGTGCCTTTTTTTCTCTCTCTCTCAGCTGCTCTGTCCCTGTCTTCTTTTATATGGGTGCCCTTCTTTCTCTATCCCTCTTTTTCTCACTTCTTCCTCTTACTCCGTCTTTCTCTCTCCTGTGCGTTCTCTGGGCCTATCACACTCTCTGATTCCTTCCAGATGGATGTTGTGAGTGCGTTCCAGAGCGGAATTTCCTTTCAGGCGGCCGTCAGGCGCCAGCCCTCCAGCACCAGCCAACAGCACGATGTAACCAATGTTTCTAGCCCTACACATGTAGCCTTATCTCCTGCTACTGCCTTCAACACCGCTTCTGCCACTGTCGGGTGTGAGTGCGTGTTTATTAGTGCATGACAATTAACATTTCCTCCTCTCGCCTAACAGTCTTCATTCTTCTCCTAATGTCCTTCCTTCTCTCTCTTTCTCTCGCTCACTTGTTCGAAACAAAATGTATCTCGAAACATCTTCCACATTGCTTCTCAATGTTAACGGCTGTGTATCTTAAGTGTTAAGGTTGAGGTTTCTGTGTCTGTGTTTGATGGCTTTGGCTGGGTTCTCACCGACGAAGAGTCGTTGTCTAATCCCGTCTGGTGTGTCTGCAGCCCTGTGCGTGCTCGCCAGGCTCCTAGTCTACTGCGAGTAAATTTTTTGAGTATACGCCCATGGTCACACCGATAACCTGACCAATCGCAGCAAATTGGTCTTGTGAATGGGTTTGTGGGACATTTTTAAAGCGGCGTTCTGGTAAGTATCTGTAGGATCGAATGAGATGATTAACAAGATGTTGTGCTGTAGTTTAGACAAAAATGAACTTCCTCTCCTCTTCCTGTAGTTAGTCACATTTCCTGTTGCGTCAGTTCACTCATTCTGCGACATTGGCGTTACTGTCTGTACTCAACACGGTTTCCTCTTTCTCACACTGTCTCATATTCTACTCTGTGCCAGTTTTATTATCCTCTTTCTCTCTCTGTCTGTCCTTATTGATGTAACTTCGTTATTTTACAGGGAAGATCTGCAAATGGATGAAAAGCTGGTGGAATCATGTCGTTTCTGTTTGTCTTTCAGCTCTATTTTCTAACCACATCAATATTTCCATCTTTCATCAGGTCCTGGTTGCCACAAACCCCTTTTCTCTGTTCAGGGCACTTTGTATTCTGTTTGAAACTGTCTCTTGTTGTAGTCTTGCTAATGAAAACCACATTGGAAAACAGGGTACGACACTGACTGTCGCATATTCCTTCTTAGATTCTGTGAAATGTGTCATGGGCTATACTCAAAGGTTTACCTCTGTTGAAACACAAGGTAGCGCTGCTCTGCATGGGTCCAGTCTCTAGACTGTTTGTGAATTTACTTGTGCTGGTTAGCTTAAACTTGCTTGGCTGCTTTAAAGTTTTGCGTCTCGACTTCACAACATAATCAGTGATCGATCCCTCCCCTCCAATACAAGCATGCCCGATAATATTAACCTCATGTGTTGAGCTGTGTCCTCTGGGGTTACCTTTGCCTCTCTCTTTTCCTGTCTCTTCTGTTCTCTCTCTTCCTCATTTGCATTTTGAAAAATTGGCTTTCTGTGATTTACAACTGAGAAGACACCCAAGTTCTTAACAGTTTATTTCTCAATCCTGAGAAAAGAGGATATTCTGTCCCTCGGTCAGAGGATAAGCTCACCGTAACACAAGCATCAGGTTTTCAAGAGTTCGTCCACTCTTTCTCTATCTCTCAGTTGCACGACATCTGACCGCTCACACACTCTCTCTCAAACGGTTTTGGTGCGCTAACCTCACTGCTCTCCACTCATCAATTAAAACCAGCCCATTTGGCCTTTGGTTTAACCTGTACTTAAAACAAACAAAAAAAAAGTGATGCTTCACTTTGTATGCCTGTCGTGTACGTGTGTGCAAACGAGAAGTAGATCTCTGTGAGCGGCAAGGCTGACTTTGCATCCCGTTCTCCCGCAGATCCGAGTGGTGAATGCATTCCGCAGCTCGCTGTCGCCCTATGAGGGCCTGGAGAAGCCGGAATCTCGCACCTCCATCCACAACTTCATGACCCATCCGGAGTTCCGGATAGAGGACTCTGAGCCCCACATCCCCCTCATCGACGACACTGACGCGGAGGACGACGCACCAACTAAGAGAAACGCCACACCCACGCCGCCTCCCCCACCCTCGCCCAATCAGAACAATAACGCCGTAGACAGCGGCATCCACCTCTTCCTGGATCCCAGCAAGCCAGCCACACCCTCAGCTCCCGGGAGCCCCATGCACAGCCTAGAGACGTCCCTTTGATCAGCTCCGCCCCTCGCTACGACACACAACACCTGCTCTTCCCCACAGAGACTAAAGCCTGGAGAACTCATTGGATGAGAGGGGCGGAGCCATGGAGCTCTCGGGAGCTTAGCTCTTAGCTTTTGCTTCTCTTTATCTGGATGTTGTACATTTGCTCTTTTTGCCCTTTGCTTATTCAAACTAATTTCTGCATCATTTGGCTGTTAATATTTTGAATTATTTGTTTTGTTTTTTTGTGGAAGACACATGTCTGTTTACAAAGTTTGTAGATACTTTTTTTCCCCCTTCTGTTCGTTGGTGGAAGAGCTTCCTGATGCAGAGAAATATTTCAGATACTGCTGTATTTTCAGGAAAAAAGGGTGTTTCTATGGAAACCAAACTATTTTTGCCTGCAAGTTTTTATTTGTTATATATTTGTAGATACATAGAACCTTCAAGCCAAATAGATAACACTAAGGCTTGTATAGCAGTGATCAGAGGTATTGAGGTCCATGGGAGGGTTTTTCTTTGGACGGATGAGGGGAGGGAGCCATTAACGAGGATCTCTGTCCATAAATCTCCTCTCATACTTACTACTTCACCCCTTAAAAGTCATCGTTGGGTTTATTTTAAGTTCCAAGAGTTCCGAGTTTCATGTCTCATTCTCGTTTGGAAGTTAAGGAGTATCTGAAATGGCTGGAGCTGGAGTCTTCACGCTTTTAATGGTGTGATTTTGAAGTGGAGGCTGCACCAGGTCCGCCTTTAAAGAATGAATGCATCTGTTATTTAACTATTTGAAATGGTCCACAGTCAGTTCATTGACATTAAGTTCCTGCCAATGTATCATAAGTTTGTTTACTCAGGCTGAAAAAACAACTAGCAGATTGAATTGAAAAGGATGCAATGATTAAAAAGTAAAGCATTTTAACTTAAGATTGTCTTTTAGGTAGTAAATTGATGTCTCAGTTAAAAGGAAAAATAAAAGAAGGAAAATGAGTAAATTGTTTTCAAAATTTGTTTCATGTTGGGGTTTTTTTCTGATTCTTTGAAAAAATATTTCCTCAAGTGTTTTGTTTGTTGATCATATGAAAAATGATAATGGTACTTTATATTTTCCTTCATATTCCATAAAGATTGCTGTCAGTTAAAAAAAATATTGGTGCAATTGTTTGTAGAATATATTTAAGACCTGAAATACTGGAAACGCAAAGGAATCAACATGAAGAATTTTCAAGACAACATGCATATAACACTGGTATCACAAGCACAGGGTACTTTATTTCAGATTCCCAAGGAACGTTTTGATACAGACCATATAAATAAATTGTATTTTTATGCGGAAATGACAACAACTCAACCTGCTGAACCAGACCTACAGGGATTTTACATAAATTATATTCGGGTGGGGTGGGGCACTCTTTAAACAAGGGTCATGATTGGTTCTCCAAGTAATATATTACTCAGGGTGGCTTATAGCATGAAACTTACGGTCAAAATACTAACATGTTTTGTGTTTTTGTAATGTTTAGGACTAGATTTATTTTTTGGCAGCAGGGTTCCAGTTCAGACTATTGCTTCTCTCCACTCGGTGGTTCATTAAGGGTGTAATAAAGGAGAAGAAAGGAAGAAAAACAGGAGAAAGGGATTTGCATTTCTTCAGTCATCGCAACTGCACATTTTTTTTTTTAAATAAGTCATTTCATTTTTCATGTTTATTAAATAAAAAAACTGCTTAAGTTTGCAATTTAGAGCAGATCTATTAAAAGAATCCATAACTTTTTTTCTATAGCGTCTTCCTATAATGGGAATGAATGTTTATCCATCTGTTTTAAGGATTTGTTTGTTTGTTTGTTTTTTTAAATCTTAAAGTTTGGAAATAAAAGAACATGTCTGTTTATCTTGCGCAATGTAAATGGATATTGTGATTTAACTTACATTTTAAACTTGTCGAGTATCGTGTATGGTTTTTAAGAATAAAAATTGATATTTAGCGTAACCCGAGGGCCATGTTTTCCTTCATGTTCAGCACACTTTAGATTTAATAATACATGCAAGATTTTTCTTATACGAAAGCATACTAAAAATAGTGCATACAGCTATTATAATTCTAAAGAAGCCAAATGATTTGTGAGATGAAGACACCATTGAGTAATCACTGGTTCAAAAAGAACCAACTGAACTCACGCATAATCCAGTTATCAAGTCGACTGGAGCTTTTCAAAAGTATGGTTTGGAAAACAGCTGCCACATCAGGCTTCATATGCATCCTTCATATTGCAGGCCAAAGGAGTAAATATATCCAGGTTTAATGTATAGTGACGTTATATGTAAAGACAAATGTCATGTAAAGAACACATGCAGACACTAGTCAAAATAGAAGCTGTCACTGTCAGTAACAATGCAAAACTTTGCAATTTATATATATATGGCTATATTTATTTACATTAGATTTATATTATCTATAATAAATTGCATATAATGTAGATTACTAACATTGGAAATATAGTGGCTCTTCAAAAAGAAAAGGATGGTAACCTACACATTTACAAGCCAACGACACATTGAAATGTTACAAGCATTACCTTGTGAGCAGATGTCCATCATTACAGTCAATGTCTGTCCACATACTTCTGTTGGCTGGGTGTAACGTCCAAACATCTCTAATTCTGTAGGATAAAGACTTTTTTAAGAATTAAACTGAATGAACTTACAAATGAGTCATGTGACAAATGATTCCTGCACTTTATCACAGTGTGTGTCTGTTTTGTTTGTGTATGGCTGGAACGAGTGCTGCTGAATGACATGATTCTGTCCCTGAGCTGTCATCTGCAGGATTTGTAATTAAAACTGTCATGAAGGTCATGAAGCATCATGTTGTCAAAGTGTCAAGATCTGAAGACCTGATTACCCCGCCTAGTGGAGCGGATGGGAAAATGCACCTCAGTTTCACTTCATATTTTAGTGCCAAGCATCACACATACGTTAACATTTTCATAGCATTTTTTTTTTATTAAATGTCTATGAGGCAGATGACAAACAGCTGATCATCAGCTCCCTCTGGTGGCCAATAAGTGTTTCAAGCGTTTCATGAAATGACAAACTGAGGTTGTAGGTGGTGTTGGTGAGAAGGCCACGATTTAAATCTTATATATTTTACAACAAAGCTATTTTTGTCAGGGTCTCGACCAACAGAGCAACATGGATCAAGTATAATTTCGGTAAACTATCCAGATCAGCTCTCAAATGACAAGGAATTAAACTGGATCAAATATTGTGTTGGACTTTTGCTGTGTAGCAAATTTACATTCTATAAAACACAGGACAAAAGATCTTACGAGATTCTTTCAGTATGTCTCTGGCTAAAATAGATGTTTGTTTTTAATCATGTTTGTTGACAATTTGGTTATTTGTATTCATTTTAATAAATTTAATAAAGTCTGTATCAAAATTATAACTGATATCTAATGACACAGCTCTCCTGGCAACTTTTTACGAACAGGCACATGGTTTAAACCAGATCAGTGTGTCACTAAGCTCCCCTTTGTGGATATAATGTGCATTAATACGGCTCTCTTAATAAATACTGCCCAAAAAAACACTAGCACCTCATCAGACTCAGTGGCTCAGTTGACCGGGTGTTGTATTTCAATCTTGTGAAGTCCTGAGTTCAAATCCCATTCTCACTTTTTTAATCAATTTAATATTTTAAACGAGCTAAAATAGTAAATAACTCTTAAAAACTAAAGTTTACATCACAAATTGGGAGATTCTTTGCCTATTGTTTGTAAAATCTTGTTTCAAATCCAATAATTGTTCATGTTTGGCATCATATAAAACAGCTTTATTAACAAAACCTGTCCAAAACACTAAATTAAACTTTCAGGCTCAGTGGCTTGGGTGACAGAGCACTGCATTTTAATCTTGGAGTCCTGAGTTCAAATCCCACTCCAATTTTTTTAATCAGCAATTGGGCTGAAACAGTTAATAATTCTTTTTAAAAAACTAAAGCCAGCATCATAAATTGGCTGATCGCTTGTTATATATACACTCTTGGTTCAAATCCCATCATTCCTAATAGTCTCCTTATATAAAACATAGCTCTGAACACAACCTGTCCAAACACCATGACAGCAAGTCTGACTCCAACCTGTGTTAATCTAAGAGACCTGAGTTCAAAGCCCACCATTTCTAGCCTTTTTTTAAATCATATTACACAAAGCTATAAATAAAAACAAAACAAAACAAAACAAAAATATCCAAAACAACACTCAGCTACTGTAAAGCTGTGAAAGCCACAGTGGTGCAGTGGTTAAACGTGACATTTGAGATAAGGTTGTGACTGAAACAAAAGAGGTTTCATTTTTAAAATTAAATACAAAGCACTTAATAAAACTCCACCCAAATCACCTTTCCACATTCCACTGACTAGGTTGCTCAGTTGAAAAAGCAATGTGTTTTAATCTTGGAGACCTGAGTTCAAATCTCACATTTGCTGATTTTAAATTGTTGTCATTATATCAAATGAAGCTCCAAAGCCCACCATTTCTAGCCTTTTTTTAAATCATATTACACAAAGCTATAAATAAAAACAAAACAAAAATATCCAAAACAACACTCAGCTACTGTAAAGCTGTGAAAGCCACAGTGGTGCAGTGGTTAAACGTGACATTTGAGATAAGGTTGTGACTGAAACAAAAGAGGTTTCATTTTTAAAATTAAATACAAAGCACTTAATAAAACTCCACCCAAATCACCTTTCTCAGTTGCTCAGTTGAAGCTTTCTAAATGGACGCAACTTCTGTGAAAGCCACAGTGGTGCAGTGGTTAAACACGTGTCATGTGAGGGCTGGCTGTTACTGAAAAAGTGTTTAGAACCCCACAAACAAATGTTTTTTTCCCCATTTAATACAAAGCACTCAATAAAGCTCCGCCCAAAACATCATTAAACTCCAAAGTCTCAGTGGCTCAGTTGGTAAAGCATTGAGTTTTTATATTGGAGACCCGAGTTCAAATCCCACTATTGCTTATGTTAAATTACTGTCATTACATCCTACAAAGTGCCCCAAACGACAACTTTCAGCATGAGTGGCAATAGTGGCAGAACACACGTTGGTTGAGTTAGGGTAGAGGCTTGGGTTCAAATCCCACATCTGTGTGTGGGGCACACAACAAAGAAAGAAAGCTGTGGCAACAGCAAAGTACCTGGGGCAGTACACCAAACAAAAGGGTTTGGTGGTAAAGGTGTACACCTGAGGCTCACGGTGAGCAATCTGGAGCGGTGAAACAGACTGGCTACACAGCCATGAGAAACATGGGCTAACATACCTAGGGTGATAACACAGACTGCCTGACATACCTGGGATGGTAAGAGAGATGAAGGCCAGATGGAGAGGAGGACTCGGGAGAGGAGGATGAACAAAGGGGGGGGGAGAAAAAAAAAATCATAAACCCATTCAAATCTTCAGCAGAGAGGGGATTCAAACCCTGGTCTCCTGCATCAGATTTAGCTCCAGTGCCATGAGCTCTGACCACTCAACCATTATTCTCTTGTATTATTTAAGGGAAAAGCAAATGCACACATTTATATAAATAAAAACAATCAATAATTAAAAAAAAAAAAAAAACATAAATATGAATCTAAAAATTGATTTTAAAATTAATAAATCTTAATTTTAAGGAAAGGCAAATGCATGTATCTTGGAAAAAAATATTAGTTTGAAAAATATATATATAAACTCTCATTTTAAAATAAATGTCAATTTAGGGAAAGACAAATGCATGCATTAAAAAAATATTAATTTGAAAAAGTAATGTCTTAAACTGAATTTTTTTTTTTTAAATAAATGTCAGTTTAAGGGAAAAGCAAATGTACACAATGAATGAATGAATAAACAAACAAACCAGAATTTAAAAGTATCTAAAAATGAGTAAATGTCAATTGACATATATACACTCAAAGTTTTCAAAGTAATTTAAGCAAGTTTGACCACATGAGTCATGACACAAGTAATGTCATTTATAGATACTTCCTGATGGGTGTAAATGTTCTTAAAACTACAACGTTAAACAACTTATACTTCAGTAATGCTCAACAATAATAATTTGTCTTTTTAACCTGGCCACAAAACTAGCCTATATGATTCAGTAATATCACTATCACTGCTTCACTACTGACCCCAAACTCATTCTCTCAAATGCAGTTTCTATAGACTGCATGACCCTGGAATATAAACACAGACATAAGCATTACCTGTGCATGAGCAGATGTCCATCATTACAGTGAATGTCTGTCCACATGCTTCTGTTGCGGTGTAATGATCCAAACATCCCTTGTTCTGTACAGATATAAATAAACAAAAACATTACTCCATATTGTATACAAGCTTTCAATTCTACAACATAGTTAAGAATCTTCATTCACTTTTTTGAATTTGAATTTAGAATTCAAATAACTGAAGTAGAACTTAGATGCAGAAAATGAAAGATGAAATCATGGATAATAAAATAGATTATATAGACAGAGGTTTAAAAGCAGTGATACTGGGGCAGTGTAATGATGTGATTTTAATTATCATATAGCCCGGCAAAAAAAGTTTCCTTAAAACAAAGCATTATTATGGAAGCCCGTTTCCGCCACTAAATAAAAAAATATAATTCTGTAAGTCATAATAATGAGTGCAGTTTTTCATCCGCTCCACCAGGCGGCAGAATCGGGCTTTAGGTTCAGTTTGACACATTCAGATCCTTGACAACAGTCACAACAACACGTGCAGACTGAGTTAAGTATAAATTCTGCAGATGACAGCTCAGTTACAGACTCATAATGTCACTTAACAGCACACACTTCAGTCCATAAACAAACAAAACAGACAAACGCTGTGATAAAGTGCAGGAGTGGAAGATGTCACGCGACTCACCTGTAAGTCTCCTTCTCTTTCAGTGTATTTCTCCTGTAAAATTACTAGCACGCGTCTAGCAGTACTTAATTCATGTATTTAAGTGTTTGTTGATGTGTAATTCAGATACAGTGCTCCTCTGTCAGGTAATTTAGTCTTTGTTTACATGCTGCTCTCTTGCTGAGCTCCCTGTCAGACCTTCAGAAGAACAAATGAATCAGTTGTTGTTGAATTACATTTATAATCTTTGAATAGATCATCATCTAATATTCATATTATAACGCGTAATTATAAGTAGTCGTAGTATTGTCTCTGTTGTTGTAGTCTTACTGTAGCTAATAATCTACTGGACTGATGGTAATAGAGTCAGTTGGTGTGTGAAGCTGCTTCATGCTTTAGTAGAGCAGCAGTGCTTTGCTTCTAATCAAAACCCTCATATATTCAGTCCATGTACAGAAAAAAAATCTGCCTTTTAGCAATACTGTTATTTACTGTGAAGCAAAGAGCTGTTTTCACAATTTATGGAGGGGAAGGCAGCTGCAGTGTACTCTGACCAGACTCAATCCCCTCCCTTCGGGGCACAGGCTGTGTATACCACTGGCAAAACACAACATTTATAAAAGGTCATTTGTTTCATTGGCGGTGACTGTTTTAAACCAAATTCTTAATTGAGGTACCATATACTTTGTGAGTTAGTGTGTGTATACATACATACATTGTGCCTTGTATTCACATGTTTTTATGAGGATAATGTGTGTTTCATGTGTTCTGTAGAGACAGTATGTAAGTGAATGTTTTCTGTGTATTGTATGTTTTTATGTCAAGTGTCAAATATGAATGTTTTGTCCAGGACCTCTGTACAGACAATAAAGTAAAGTAATGTCTCATTTAAATTTTTATTGAACCAACATATTATTATCGATACATCAATGCTTATGTATAATGTAGTTTAGACTGACTGTAATATGTTGAGTTTTAGATACACAGTATGGAGTGATGTTTATTTATGTCTTTCCTCTACAGAATAAGGGATGTTTGGACCGTTACACTCAGCCAACAGAAGCATGTGGACAGACAATGAACATCTGCTGATGCACAGGTAAAACTTAAAACAGTTCAGTGTGTGTTGTTTGCTTGTAAATGTGTAGGTTACCATCATTTTCTTTTTGAAGGAGCACCCCTTTGAAAAGCAAATGATGGTAGCCTAAGTAGGCGGGGAAGGGACGGGGGTTGGAAAAAATGATAGTAAATTAAATTTTTTCAGGCCAGAAGTATAACCCCTGCTGGACATTGTTGTGGAACTCAGGGGAGGACACCATGATCCCCCACACCTTCTCACTCACACCAGACCATTCACTCATATCGCGGAGATCTGGCTGGACTTGAACCAGCAACCTCGGAAACCGTGAGGCAGCACTCTTACCACTGAGCCACAGATCTCTTGTCTGGCCATGTGCAGGAACTTGTATTTCACTATTCTCTCGGTCATTTTACAATAAGCCAGTTAAATTTCAAACCCATTGAGTTGGGGTTTGAACCCACAGCACCACCGCAGTTCTGATCGTATGTAATGTGTGTTTAGCCATTAGTGCCACACTTGCTTTCACATTGCAAGCTTGCGTTTGCACCACTTTGTTGGATATAATGCAATACATGAGCTTTAATGTAAGCAATAGTGGGGCTTGAACTCAGGACGCCACGATCTCAACACAACACTCTGCATCCTGAGCCACTGGAACAAGTGAGTTACAGGTTGT